CGAGCAGGAGCTGAGGATGTTCTCCCGCTGTCTCTCAGTGGATGGACACACTGATGTATTCACTGATGTTTAATGCAGTATTGCAGTTGTAGCAGATAAATTTAATCCCTCTCTCTCTCTCTCTCTCTCTCTCTCTCTCTCTCTCTCTCTCTCTCTCTCTCTCTCTGTCTCTCTCTCTCTCTCTCTCTCTCTCTCTCTCTGTCTCTCTCTCTCTCTCTCTCTCTCTCTCTCTCTCTCTCTCTCTGTAAAGGGGAAAACAGGTGAAGCGGGGCCGCAGGGGCCTCCGGGGCCTCCAGGACCTGAGGTGAGGATTATTGTCAGATTATTCTCTGTGTTAAGGAGAAACTCTCTTCATTTTCACTCATTATTTCTGAAAACAGGACTGTATGTTGTGCTTGTCTAGAAATTATGACTGATTTAAGATTATTAAGGCACATACTCTATTTAAGCTTGTGCTCACTCTATTGGAGTATTTGAGCGATTTGGCAGTGATCTGCTCACAGTTTGACTTCTGTATCATATCATGTCTATAACCTTTTCATTTTGAGCATTGTAAGCTCTGGATCAGGGGTGCACAAACTTTTTCTTATGAAGGGCCAAAAACCAAACCTGACTGAGGCTAGTGGGCTGAAGGTAAATATAGCTGCCATGGATAATTTGCTCATTTATTTAATAATGTTTAAAAAAAGACAGGACAAAACTGCTTTATATTAACTAACACTGTATTTTATAGCTTTAATAATGAACTTATTAGAGTAAAAGTCTCATTTATAGCAGAATTACAGTTGTTTTTGCCTGATTTGCTCACTGCTGTCCTCTGCATAGTCCTCTATGTGTCGAGTGACAGTGTTTACATTATAATATATCTGATTTATTCACAACATTTGATTGAAACCTTTCATTTCAGTTTGCTTTTTTTGTAGCTCAGCAATAAAATGATCAGAAATAGTCACGTGAAATTACAAATGAGGATCTCTGTGATAAAGGCATTGGCCGTAACCCTCTCCATCATACTCACTCTCCTCTCAGATGGGATGGTGGGCCAAATCAAAGGTTACAATGGGCTGGCTTTGGCCCACGGGCCCTACTTTGGGCATCTAGATGATAGATAGTAAAGCCCAAAGTGTAGAATACAGAGCGAATTGTCCAGCAACTGTTACTGTTTTAGTTTGGGAAGCTCATGTTTGATAAGATGCCTCTGGTGGTGAAGCAGAGAAGAGCTCTGATATAGTCTCACTGATATACACTGGTGTAGTCTCTGAAAAGCTTTTGCAGAAGTCTCATTTAAAATATAAACTCATGAGACACTTGGCCTTCAAGACTTATTTTTATGTCTAGGTTACTACAAGAATGTTTTCCTGTCTTTGCATATATATATATATATATATATATATATATATATATATATATATATATATATATATATATATATATATATATATATATATATATATATATATATATATATATATATATATATATATATATATATATATATATATATATATATATATATATATATATATATATATATATATATATATAGAGAGATAGACAGAGAGAGAGAGAGAGAGA